GCAGAACTGGGCTGCAAATGAATGAAGCAGACAGCTGATTATATTGTAGAGAAATAATTTTTGTGGGCTCTCTGAAAGTTCCTTATCCGCTTTTGGATGTGGACTTCGTAAGAAAATGCTTGGAGCTGGTCTTTGGTAACTATTTGTTAGACAAATTACTAACCTAGCTGTGGTTGCTGGTTCATGCAGAGCTTTCTTTATTGTTTTTTCCCCTTATGTTTCTTTCAGCACTTCAAACAATATAAATGATTAAAAATCTTCACTAGATGGGGAAAAAAAGATGCTTATAGTATAGTACTTCCTCACTCTGAAGTTATTGATATGATGTAATATTTTTATGCTTGGGTAAGTATAGATTTTGAATAAAAGAATTTAATCAACATTGAATAAATGTTCCTCATGAGGGGAAAATTTCCCATTTCTATTTCATTAACGCTTCATGCTTCTAGCAGTTAACAAATTTAATTTCATTCCTGGTGTTCAAGGTCTGTGCTTTTCTCTCCTGTCTTTCTATCTGTCTGTCTTTTAAATGAGCTTTGTATTTTACGGCTGGGAGGAGATCAGTAAAAGAAAGCAAAAGGAAAAGTGCAAAGCATTTTTTCTTTACCTGAACTTTGTGAAATATACAGTGAACGTGTATCTGCAACTGTGTAAAATAAATATGTGATGTGATAAAATGGTATTTAAAACTATTTCTGAAGTTGAAAGACTATTTTAAGAAGTCATTTATAGAAAAATAAATTGTTTAAAATAATTGAAGGTAGGTAGGATCAGCTGTGTTATAAAAAAAATAATAATAGTAATAATAATCCTCATGTTTTCAGACAACTGTGCTCATTTAATTTAGCTTACTGAGGAATATAAGGATTTGGGAATTGGTATGTACCAAGCCTTTTTTGAGTTTATGTAGTGCAATAGGATTTGTATAAAGTGTTTAAATTTAGGGTACAAATAGGTGAAATGTGGCAAATGGTCAAAGTGAATAAAAGTATTTGTTCAAATTATCTTGTGCTAAAAACCTTCACTCAGTCTCACCCTAGAGTATCTTAGAATGGTCTGAGTTAAAAAGAACCACAGTGATCATATAGTTTCAACCCCCCTGCTATGTGCAGGGTTACCAACCACCAGACCAGGCTGCCGGACTTCTGCTTTACAGAAGTCCAGAATAATGTCTAAGGCAAACTATTCTTCTGTTTTCCCCCCATCTCTGCAGACTCAAAACTGATTTTTTTTCATACAGAAACATGAAGTTTCAGTCTTTGCTAGTTCTTGGTGTTTAACTTATGAAACAGATGAAGTTTCTCAAAACTTCAAGTTATTTCATTGAGATCGTGCTATGGTCTTCAACTTCAGATCTTGCCTGTTTCTACCTGTATTCTTAATTATCATCTGCCTGCATTTCTGCTATCTTATGCTGGTTTTCATTCATTGAATATTGTGAAGTGCAAAATTTATTCATTTTTATAATGCAGGTAAATCAGGTTTAATAGCATTTTTTAGTAGTCTTGCTCTAAGGAAGGAGTTTCAAACAGTATTTTGAAAGTCTTAGAGCAGACCAACGTGTTATAATAATTGCACTTCAATAATCCCGAATGATAGCTCCAGGGAGCTATGACTATTGAATAATTTGTTCATATATACTTGTCCTTGATAGTAAAATTGGATTAAAAATAAGAATAGGAATAGAAAGAAAGAAAAGCTGAAAAACTGATTATCTTTGAAGGTCATTAGTGTTTTCAAAAAAGAAGATTAAAAAACAAAAAAGAACATGAAAATCTCACTTAAAGGAATAGTGTTAGCTATGTTTTGAATAATAAGATTTTTATTACTACAAGAAAAGGTCTCATAATAATAAAGTCTAATTGTTATTTTCATCTGAAACTGGTAAGAATTGATTGCTGGGAAAAAAAAAAAAGCTGAAGGAAATAGTGGGGGAGAAAAGCTTGAAGAGAATAATATGGATTGCATGGAACTATGAGTTGAAGGACATGCATGCTGTAATATAAAGAAGAGAGGATATGAAAGGGGGAGTAAACCAAAGCTGCAGGATAATGTAAAGATCAGAAGTATTCCCTGTTTGTTTGTATAAAAGTATATTTCAAGTGAAGGGAAGAAGTTGGTATATAAAAGGAAGCTTGGGGAACTAACTGGTGAGGGAAAGTGAAATTTGCAGTCAATCTAAATCCACCCCAAAACAGTATAGACTGAAATAGGGAAAAAATCTGTTCTGAAGAGTTTCAGAACCATTGGAAAACTGTCTTGAAGGATGCCTTAATGACCAGCGTTTTAAATGAGCTTGTTTCCTTTAAAAATACATGCATCAGAAATATATATGAAGCATAGATTCATTGAGGTTGGAAGTGAACTTTTGATATCATCTCCTCTGTGCACCTACTAGAGTCAGCTAGAGCAGGTACTCCAGAAAAGTAACCTTTCAGATATTATGACAAGGAAGTATCTGCAAACTTACTTGGCAATTTGTGTTCAGCCACCCTCACTGCTGAGAGGGAAAAAAGAAAAAGAAAAAAGAGTTTAACTCTCTCTTCTCCACTCGTTTCCTCCCTTCAGGTATTTAAATACATTGATGAGATCCACTCTGAGATGTCTTGTCCAGGCTGAGTTGACCCAGCTCCCTTGGCATTCCCTCATGGGAGAGGTGCTCCAGGCCTTTCATTGTTCTTATGGCCTTTCTTGTACTGGGGAGCTTGAAACTAGACACTGTATTCCAGATGTGACCTTACCAGAGTTGAGTTGAGAGGAAGAATCACTTTCCTCAGACTGGTCCTTTTTCTAATGCAGATCTATGTCCTCACTGTTCTGCAAACTGGTCCTCCTTCACCAATGTTAAATCAACTTGTTGCAGACTTTCCCACTGATCTCAAGGGCTTTGGGATTTTTAAAAGCCACTCTTACCAGTAAAAAATGAGGCAAAGGTGTTCAGTACCTCAGGCTTTTCTGTGTTTCCTTTGTCAGCAGCACTCTTGGTGATATTCAGGCTGTTGCTGCTCTTTCTGCTTGTGCCTCCCTCAGAATCTTAATATGAAGACCGGCTGGCTCACTTAGAATCATAGAATGACCTGAATTTGAAGGAAGGAACACAAAGGGTCATCAGGTCTGACTCCTGGCTCCACACTGGACCATCCAAAATTCAAAATATTTGCTTCTCATCCTCTGCTAAAATAGTTATTTATTATTGCAGTAGCTGTTACAGTTTTGTTTAATTAGGAGAGCCAGGGACCCAGACACCATTTGTATTCCTACAGTGTAGGGCTGTGACTGTACCTGTTGGATGTTGCTCTAGATCTCTTAATTGTGGGTTAAGATGAGAGTATATGAGTTACAGGACCTTTTTCTGTAAATGCAGATAGTAATACAATGCATGAATTTTGAGTTACCTGTATTCTGAGGCAGCAGTCTTAGTATAATCTTACTATACCTCCCACTGGGACAAGTAGCCCCTAAATATTCCATACAAGTATGTCTCAGTTATGCTTTTTACCAGCACAACTGTTTAAACATCCATTTTATTTTGAAATGGCTCTCATTTCAACCAGTTAGCCAGGGTGCTACTAAAGTCCACATGTGAGCTGTGCTTTGCTGTGATAAATAAGTACAACTTGCCTCAAAACCCATTTGCTTTTTGCTTGGATTCTTTTACAGAATTTGATGGGTGACCTACTTTTGTGGGGATGAAAAATTATTTTCCTATTTCTTTGTGACATTATGGGTTTTGTAAACTGTTGCACAGTCATTTGGAGTAGATGGCATTATTAGGAGGGGTATTAATTATTTGCAAGCTGCTGATGCATCATCTCTGCATGATCTATATTTGTCTCTTGAATGTTCCTCATCTCTTGCTAATTGTAGGTGGTTTTGAGGGAACTGATTTCCACAGCTAAACAGGCTAGTGTAGCCTGTAGAATGGTCTTGAATTGTGCTAAAGAAAGCCATGAGACAGGTTACTTATATCAGCCACCCCAGACTTTTTTGCCATTCTAAGGTGGTTACATGCTATTGATGCTGCTCGCTTACCTCAGAGGAATGAGCTTCCTGCATCCCCTCATCTTGACAGCGTGTAAATTCCTTTCCACTCTGGTTCATTGCTTGTTAAACAAATTGTTTATTTTATTTGTGTTTTAAAAAGCCTAATTTTTTTAATTTCATTTTGCTGCCTCTTGCTATTTTTCCTCTATTTCCTCCATTAGATTTTTTAAAAAACAGATCTAAGCTTTTCAGCAGATTTTGTGATTGCTGTTACATCAGTCACCTGAAACTGAGTAGGGAAAGAAGCTGTGTTTTTATTTTCTTTTCTGATTTTCAATTTTGCTTACCTTAAAAACAGTATCTCACTTTCCCTTTCTTTCTGTTCTCCTTTCTTCCCTGCAAGTGCTGGCCCCTAAAACTGGTAATGTGAGAGACCTCATCTGAGGCAGGATTAAGAGCCAGGAAATCCTGACTCTTCCCATGACTCACTGTGTGTGTCCTTGGGCAATCTGTTACTATTACAGACAAAAGCTGCACGCAGCACTTGCCAGAAAAATTAAAAGCACAGTATACAATCCAGGGAGATTATTTTCAAATTTTAATCAAAGCACTGCAAAAGTAGAAAAGAAAGAGAGGCTGTAAAAGATGATACCTGAGGAGTAGTTTGTTTGTGAGCAGTGTAAATTGTCTATGAAAGGAAGCAGCTATTACTAACTGTATTTTTGTTCTTCTTGAAGCCTTTGGTTCCATTACAATGCAAATATCAGTTGTGGGATATGATGAACACACAGTCCTCTATTTAAGAGCTGTTGCAATCCTTTTTGAAATGAAGTAGGTAAATAAGAGTGAAGGTAGAGAGAAGGTGCACAGACGTGTTGATGAATTTGTGCTCAGCTTCAGAAGTCCAACTTGAGACTTTTCTTGGGAAGTGGATTTCTTGTCTTTAATTAAAATACATGCAAATGCGTGATTTGCGTTTGTTTTGTTTTGTTTTTCTTTCTTAATTTTTTTTGTAGTTTTTACCTTCTGAAAAGCATGGACTCCTCACCATTTAGAGCAAATAGCAGAGATCTTTGGAGAGAGCAAATGCCATTGCTTGGAGATCTGGGAAGGTAAACAGGATCATTTACCTATCATCCATAATGACTCAGATATAAAAATAACTTCCACAAGTAGCAGAATATGATATAATAGAGAAAGCTTCCTCCTTTATTGTTTATTGAACATATTTGGATAAAGCCTGAATGACTATAAAATCTGCATGCTGTTTCAGGGTGCCTTTCCAGATATTTTAATACCATGTCCATTCAGTGTTCATTCACGTGATGTTGCTTATAGTTTTATTTTGAGTATATATTCAGCAGCAAATTATTAGATTTTATCTAAGGTGGCTCTTCAGTCTCTCTTGGCCTCTTGTTCATGTCATCTTGCCTCTTCCCTCTGCTTTTTCTGCATTATTTGGGGACTATACATTTGTCCCAATGGTTGGGCCAGCACAGCAGGGGAGGAAGGTTTGCAAGAGCATTTGCATATGGCAAAAATTGCCACCAAAAAAAAGCATACTTCTGTATGGAAATAAATTACTGAAGGCTATCCCTGGCATTTTTGTATAATCTTTGACATTTCTTTTGGAGACAAAAAAAAGACTGCTTGGAATGAGGGGTCTGTTTTTGAACTATTAAATGCCTCTGTACTTTTGTTTTCTGATTTTGGTAGTGATGGTTTACTGAGAAGAGAAGAATATTAGGGTTTTGAGGCTCAGAGATCTTCTGATTTATGTTTTGTCGAAGGTCATTTGGTCATTATGTCCTTTAAGGTCAATCCTAGGCCTACAGTGGAAATTATTATTCCCATACAAGAGAATATCGTCCATCTTGTATCTGCTTGCTTAGCATTAACTTGCATTTCCCAATGTAAGTGCTCTGTCAACAGGCTGGCATGAGAATCTGATGAAAAGACCATCATTATCCCAGTTTTTGTGATCAGATTTACAGCAGTTTACAGCAAGGACCACTTGGAACTCTCATATGTCATCCAGTGTAGTCCCTTGCTATTGCAGGTAACACGTCATGTATCATCAATTAGTCAAGCCCCACCTTAAAATCTCTTTAGTTCCTTGCATGATTCCTCTTTTTGGAAGACCAATTCATTTTTATCCAGTGGTTTCAAAGATGATCATTGGTGCATTCATCAAAATTCTCAGAATACTCTCAATGGAGAGTAAGTGTGCAGTTACCTGATTCTCTCTGTTCTCTATTAGTGATAGAGACACATAAGCCATTTGTGAATCTAGATTTGAGTCCTATAAGTACTTCACCACATGAATAATTGCCTCTCTTGGAAAACTGAGTTACATTGATCTGTTCAGAGTTGTTCAAATGTATATGCAGAATCAATGATACAGAACCAAGTTCAGCTTCTAAATGTTGCTGTTATTACTGATTAAGTCATTAGAATCTAAAGGACATGTGAATTTGTATCAGGTCAAAATAGTTTTCTTCAGTATTCTTTTCAAATAGAGAATCCTTTGCTGCCTGTCATTTAAAAACCAGCCTTAATATCTTGCTAATTTAAAGGCTTGTTCTCTCGTGGGTGCCTACTGACAATAAATACTTAGAAGGGATGCATCTTAAAAAGACTGAAGTGAAAGATAATTGCATTAAACCTTCTAAACATGCAGGAATCATTTAATACCAGAGACATAAACATCTATAGCATTCGCAAATTATGTTACTACATTCTTCAGTCAGTAGTTCTGCAGGCTACAGGAAAACTTTTTAATGGTGAAAGACATGGGGGACCTCAGTATAGTCTAGACAACTATTTAAAATTCTTATGATACTCTCCTTCAAAGCTCCAGCTGGAGAGTCAACAGTGCTGTGAGTTTCTGTAGCTTACTATTCTGGTCTTAAAGAAACAGTGCTGGAGAATGGCAATAAAGTAATAATAAACACAATAGGTCTTGCAAAATATTCCCCCATAAAACCTTGCCTTTCAAAATCGTTGCTTTGTTTAGTTTTGCTGTTGTATGAAATTTTTGGAGCATATTAACGCAAACATGTAACTTACAGGATTCAAGTTTGTTTTATTTTTAATTTTCTTGCTTTTTGGTAGGAGAAAGTGACTAAAGATGGTGATTTATTGTATTTTATTATGAAACTTCAGGGTCAGTAACTCTTTGTTTTCACGAGAAAACATCTGTTTTTTGTGGGTTTTCTTTTTGTTTTGTTGTTGTTGTTTTTTAATTTGATTCAGAACATGGGTAGTCTCAGCTTTTCTTCCGACCTCAGGTGGCAAAAGCTTGTGCTTAATCCCTAAGAACAGAATTCATTCTGACCCAGTAATGGCTGTAGAGATCTTTGAGGCCAGAGATCCCCACTGTAGAAATGCCTGGAATAATTTAGCAGTTTAAAATCTTCTGATGTTAAACTCCATTTTGAGGCTTTGAAAAAATTTCATTTCCCACCCAGCATTAAATAAATGAAATTTGCTTATTGATTATGTACTCTTTTAACAAGCAATCATGAGAAAAAGACAAGCAGAAATTGAAGGACATCCCTGCTCAGACTGTCATGGAAGGAAGGAATCTGGCAGAGATGTTCTCCAAGTATCTCATTGTTATTTGTATTCTGTGATTGTTTGTATGTCTCTGTAAGTCACAAGGTACAAATGAATGCCACATTTCAAATTATTTTCCTTTCATTTTCTTGGCTAGTGCGTTTATTGCCACTGTATTATTTTCTAAGCACCTGTTCCCTTTTTAATTCAGTCCTAATCTCTTGCCAAAATCTGAACACTGGGGTAGGAATGCAGTAGTTCTAATAAGCTATTTAAAATAAAAATAGTAGTTGATACTTTTATACTCCTTTATATGCACAAACTAATTATTTCTTATACCTCATGCAGGGAAGTATTTATTCTCTTTCCAGTTTTAACTGCCAGGAAGAAGAAAGAATTTTAAGCAGCTACTTTCTGAAGCTTTCTGGAATGTTTTCAAAAGATAACCCAGCAAAGACACCTGTTCACACTATCTAGTTTCAAAGTAATACTCAACAGCGTCACCTTCTCCTTTAACCTCCTCTACTTCATTCTTACGTTTTATTGTAGATCTCCTGTTTGGACCATATTTGTTCCATGTAAATATGAGCACACAACCAAATACCTCTCATTAAACACCTCCTTAATGCCTCTATTCTGTGTCATGCCCTCTCTGTCTACTCTGCACATCATTTTGGAACTTCAAATGGTATTTCCAGCAGCATTTGGTTTTGGTCTCTGAAGAAATAGATGTTCATGCAGGAGATGGCCCCGCTGGGCACTGTGGCAGTTGCTGGTACACGTGTTAAGATGTCCCAGCAGCTTCATTACTGCATCACAGTGTGCTCTGCTCATGTAGCCTTTGCTAGGGGAGACGCTTAAAAACTCTATTTAGGTCTGTGTGCTGATTTCTTTGGCATCACAAATGTAAAACATTGCAGGAGATGAAGATAATAGACCTTCACTTAGCTTACAGGCTTTGGCAAGTTTTCCTTGGGGATATAAATGAAACAGTTTGGAGACTAAAGCAGAAATAAACTGGAACTTCTCTCACCAGGCAATTAGCAGGTAGAGTGTTAAGAAGTGGTTGGCTTTGTTTCTTTGTTATCCCTGTACTTTTAAAGTACTTTGCTACAGTAGTTTTCAATACACTTTTTCCTGGCAGATTAAAGGTAGGGTGAGTTCTGATGCTACTCCATAGTTTACTGCATTAGCTGTACCTGTCTGTTTGGTTTTCTGATGCACCTAAGTGTAGGGTCCTCTTATGAGGTTAATGAGTTTGGACGAAGAGAAAAGGAAACATGTTCATTAAATTAGAATTCAGAAATACATTAACATACAGCATTAATAGTTTTGATATCTCGCCTGTCCTCTATCCTGCACATGACTGTATTGCTTATAGTGAGATTGTGGGTAGCGAGAGAAAGCCCAAATCACCATCAACTAAAAAGCAAAGTATGACAGCCTTGATAATGCACCACACCAACTATGAATATTTTGTGTAAACACTTGTCTATGTTTCAGTTATTAGCAAGAGATCCAGCTTTTTCCTCTTTTTCCCTATGCTTCCGATTAAGTTCCTTGTTCTCTTTTAACTTTCCACAGTGTTATGCCTAAGATCTAAATAATCTTAGCCTGCAATTTTTCTCCTATTTGGGGAAAAAGACAAACAGTCAGAAAACATAAGGAACAAACAGGAATCTCCAGCCAGACCCGGAAAGAAATTCTGGCTTGCAGATTTTATCTGCTGCTGGAACGGGAATGCAAGTAATTGTGGTCTGTTGTGTTTGGGGTGTTTTTTTTTCCTCCCTTTTCAGGAACCAATATGATCAAGACTGCGTATGCACTTGTCTCCTACTGTAATGTCTGAGCCATAGTGCAATTTGGAGGTGAATTCTCACTGAAGGAGTACTGTGTGGGTTTAGAGGAGAGGAACCGATTGATGCAAGAAAAATGTAGGGGTAGTGGTTAAAATAGGAAGACTGTGAGGAGAAAGAACGTGAGTTAATTTGGTGAATGTTTTGATATTAGGGAATAACGTTGGAAGAGTATGTTTATGGTAAAGGAAGAATTGGAACAAAAAAACAACTTTTTTTTTCCTCTGATTTGGAAGTCGCAGAACGTGAAAGTCACTTTCCTGTTTTAGAGAGTTCATGGTACTTCATGGCTAAAGGGGACAGGACAAGGAGAGGAAGAAAGGAGACAAATGCCAACTTAGAATCCAGCCAAGCATATTACTGTGCAGTAATGAAATAAAACTAGTCTTTCTCCTTCACATTTGTGAGCGCTTCCTTCTCTGGAAGGCATAATAGAATTGAAATACAATAGATAGGACACATAATAAATTACGTTCAGACAGTACCACCAAAGAGCATCTAGTTCAGAGCAGCAGACATGCAAGTGGCCAGAACATTGTCCATCTGGGTAAACCAGCATCTAGTCAAAGTCATACACGAGCTGATCTCAGCTCTCACAAATAGAAAGCTCCATGCCCTATCAGCTTATTTGATAGAGGTAGTGTGATGATACTGTGATTCAGATGGAAGGTTTCTGTGGCTGTTGTGTAGACCATAAAGGCTGTCATCTTTGCTTTTGGAAGAGCAAGTCACAATACCAAATTTTAAGTAATTGGGACAGTGTTAGACCTTTTTACAGCTCACTATATTGAGTTATATTTTAAAGTAGTGTTTCAAATGATGCCCACTTAGTTGGTGCTGTTTGGCTCTGGAATTAGGTACCACATGCATGGTTCTAGGTCATGGAAAATAATTCCACACATCTCTCTGTCTAGACCTTTCTTTTAAGAGATGTAGGCAGACTACACTTGTTGGTTTTTTTTTTTTTGTTTTTTGTTTTTAACATTTTCCTCATTGCTTAAATACTATAAGAGCTGCAGTTGCTGGATGTTGTAGCAGAAAGTGTGCTGCTCCTCTGTGGGGAAGTTGCATCTGAGTTTTGGTATGGATGGTGATGGTCACTTTACACAGGTTCTAAGGAGAACTGCAAAAATCCAGCAGAATCTTAGATTGAAATAACTTATCTGACCTGAAGCAAAGCAAAAGATGCTGTATGTTTGGAGGGATGAAATGACTGGCTATGCATTAGGGTGTGGGTCTTGGAAAAGTTGGCAAATACAGCCTTCCCCAAGTTAGCTTCTGCATATCTTTTGGTGGGGCTAAAATGTTTTTAGGGTCTGCATCATGTGCTCTTGTTTGGTTTGCCAAGGATTGATCTCTCCGCATGTCTAGTTTTAGGATACAGCTGGCATGATGTAAATTTACACAGTAGCTTGCAGTGCCTGGTTTGTTTTATGTTAACCTGTGTCTCCCAGCTGCCCATACATGAGGGTGCCTAAACACATCTTTTCTACAGCAGTTATAGCCATTTTGTGGAGAAAAGCGTGTGCTGCTGCTTGGATTGCCTGCTTACCTGAGGATTGATTTTCAGCATAGTAGTTACTACAGTAAAAAGTGAACATAATCTGTTGTTGACTAAGAAAATCCTAAATTCTGTGGGTTTTGT